TGGTTAGGGGTAAGTTACAGTGTCTACTCTCCCCTCAGTGCTGACTTAAACATGTTCAGGTCCAATAGTATTTATTTTTAAAAGGCAGTTTATTTACTAAAGACCATTGAGGTTCTAAAGGAATATATTTCTAACCCTAAGGCTTACTATATTCTAAAGCATTTTGCCAAGTTCTCATCTTTCCATGATGATATTTTAATCCATTTTTCCATGTACCACTATCATACTTTTTTCTTTTTTAAATATTAAGCCATTTTCTGTATATGCAGTATAAACCCAAATTGACTAAGATTTTCCTTTTATATATTGTTAAATGCTTTTTTGGTCACTAACAGATCCCTAGTCTCTCATCTGAAAGTCACCCATTCATGGTGAGGCATGCCTTTAATGCCAACACTTGGTAGGTAGAGGTTGGAGGATCAAGACTTTAGGACTGGCCTTTGCTAACAAGACCCTGTTTCAAAACAAAAGTCAAGTTTACAGTAAACAGTCTGTGGACCTATTATTTTAAGAATTTTGTGTATAAATATTCATGTGATGGAGGATATTCTTCTGTATATATGTTTCTCTTATTAGTTGATGAATAAAACACTGTTTGGCCAATAGACTCAGGAAGATAGGTGGGACTAGAAGACAAGGAGAATTCTGGGAAAGGAAGGCGGAGAGACACCAAAGAGATGCTATGAGACGTAGGAAGGAATAACAGGTCCAGATCCTTCTCCCGTCAGATAATACCACATGGAAATACTTAGATCGATTATAACAGAGCTTAGCCAGTAAGAAGTCCTAGTCATCGACAACAGTTTATAATTAATATGTCTGTTGTGTGTTTATTTGGGGCTAAGGTGGCTGTGGGGCCAGGTGGGACAGGAAAAACTCTAGTTATATTCATGAATAAAACAGACATGTATCATTTCTTATTTATACCTTTGCTATCTAGTTATAAAATTGAAGACAAATACAAAAATGAAGAATGTATTCCTTTGCTTTCCATTCTCTGAAATAATTTGTTGAACACCAGAATGACCTGTCCCATAAAATTATCTGGACCAGGTATTTCTTTGGTGGGAAAATTTTTATTGCTACCTCACAGTTAAATCAAAGCCTTCTTACTTAGGCAAATTATCAAACTGTGTCTTTTAGATGTTTGTTTTGTTTAAATTTTCAAAGTATTATGCACAAAACTACTGGCAGTACTCTGTATCTTTTATTTTCATGCACCTCTAATTATATATCCTTTTTTATATGTATGGGTTTATTTTAAAATTTAAATATATTTTTATTAGTTCACTGAGCATTGTGTACTTGTTTTGGTCATATTCACCTATGCCATCCTTTTTATTCTGAAGTGTTATTCATGGCCTCTGCATTTTCCCAATCTTGCCAACTTTTATCTTTTTTCTAGTCTTTCTGAACAATCAACTTTTAGCTGTTGACTTCCCATATGGTCTCTAAACCTGAATCACTTTATAACTAAATGTTTACATATTTCTATTACCTAGCCTATACAATCCAAAGCTCTTCCTTAACAACTACATGAATTACAACACATCCCAATCTTGAGCATTCCTTATTTGAAATTCCTGGAACCAAGAGTGTTCATATCTCATTTTTTTCTAATTTTGTAGTATCTGCACAGATAAGTTATCTTGAGGATGAGATTCAAGGCTTCAAGGCTAAACATCAAAGTCATTTGTTTCACATATACTTTATAACAGTCCAAAGGTAATTTTATAATCCCATGGCACACAGGCCTTGCTTAGCTCCAAATTAGCTCTACAGTTCGTACAAGCCCTTATAAATGTAGTATTAATATTTCAGTACCTAATAATTAGGATAATTTCTTTATCATCCTTCACTTTTTCCAACCAATTATACTTCTGCATAATTGAAAATTTTTCTCCACCTGAATTTTTTCTTCAAACATACCAAAAATAAAAGCGCTCATTTACTTTTCCTCATCAGTTTTTGTGAATGGCACTCTATGTTGATCCTTTTCCACTCTGTTCACTTAAAAAATATTTAGACTACAGTATCACAAAATAACAATTCTTCATTTTCCTCTCCAACAAATTTAATGTATCCTAGATACTGCTCTAAATAAATGTTCCTCTTTTTCTCACAGCAGCACTAAGTATGATACCTGTTTTTCAAGACAGACATGCAGAGGTTGAACAGTAAGCAGTTGGGCCTGAATTAAAACCAGAGAAGCATGGGTCTATAGAATACCATACTGATCACACCTGTTCTTGTCTGACGTTGCATATCCTGTATTTATCATTTGAAAACTACACAGAACTACTTATATGACTAAAAACTTTACAAACCTAAAACCTTCAATAAAACAACTTCTTCACTGTTCTTAGAAGTTAAAATATACAAACCATGGATCAAACAAAGCAATGTTACATCAAAATCTAACATTTCTGAAAAGAAGTCTGATAGATGGCTAAATCAAATGGGAGAGTAAAAGTATAACTTAAAGTTAATTTGACACTAGGGCAAGTGTAAAAAAGGCTGACATCAATAGAGGTAATTAGCAATGTACAAAAAATTAAAGGCAATTAATATCCTATTTAATCTATCTAAGACACTAGTAATTGTAAACAGAACTATTCTCTTATATACTCTTAAAAATGAAATTCCTACACCATTTCAATTATGGTATGCTTTCAACTCTTGAACTCATTCAGATTTGAGAAGTGAAAGGGAAAAAAGAACTTACAATCAAACAATTGAACAATTAAATCACTACATAGCTGAATGAAACTTGCGAAGTAACATTCAATCCAAGGAGTTGTATAATTGTTCAATGGGTATGAAAGACCAGGTTAAGAATTCCAGAATATTTATTTGGTATATTCTTTCCCTGTGTTCCTTAGAATGTAACAAAAAGAACTGAAGAAATAATGCTGAATCACTAAAACATAGGCCTTTGGAGTCTGGTGATTACAAATGTATCCTGAAGAATAAGCCCAGATTGAAAATTTCATGAAAAATGACTTATTCGTTGTAGGAACAAAAAGATAGCAAAATTAAATCCTTAAACAACTAATGAGTCAGTTTAAATCAATTTGCTACATAGAAAAACAAAAAAGAACAAAGCAAAACAAAAAACCCACTGAAACACTGTTGTTACTAGAGAAATCTTTGCACAGAGAATACACAATGACATATTTACTAGCAAAGATCCCAGGGCCTTCAGCTTAACCTCCAAATGCTGAAACAAGCAAACAAGCACACCCTCACTTCATGCTCAAGCAAGAAGGGATAGATATAAACAACCAGGAATCTGATGAAGGGCAACTACTATTTAAGCTCAAGTTATACCTGGAGGGCGGAAAGTTGGACCAGTTGGTAAAGTGCCTGTTGTCTAAGCACAGAGACTTGAATTCTGATCAACACCTACAGAAAAGTTGGCCTCAATTGTGGGCATCTATCATCCTAGTACTAGCAAGGCAAACAGGCAGCTAGATCCCTGAATTCACTGGCTAGCCAGTCTAGGCAACTTGTGAGCTCTAGAATCAGTGAGAGACCCTGTCACAAAAAAACGGAGAACAAGCCTGGAAGACACCAAATACCAACCTCTGGCTTCCACAAGCATGCATGTACACATGTATACACACGCACAGGCTTTCTCTCTATCTCAAAAGACAGCAAAAAAAACAAGGATTTGTGAACTAAAACAGAAAATACACAGAAAGACAATATTTAAGTGGAAACAGTCACAACATTGGAAAGTTGAGAACCACTGCTCTAGATACCTGACCTTTATGAAAGTTGAGTATTCTTTATTTAAAATGCTTGGAACCAGGAAGGTTTCATATCTCAATTTTTTTCTCACTTTGTAATATCTGCATATATAAAATGAGCTATCTTAAAGATGAAATTCAAAACTAAACATCAAATTCACTTAGTTTCAGATATAGCTTATAAACAATCTAAAGGAAATTTTGTAAGAATTTCTAGTTTTCATTGTAATCTATTAGATATGGCTAGATACAAAATTGTTCATGGGTAGTTTCATGTTGGAACCCAAATGTTTCAGGTTTTGGAGCAATTTAGATTTTGATTTTCAGATTAAAGATACTAACCTATGCAAATTAGCAGGAAATAAGAGTTGAAAGGGATAAAAGGTATTCAGACATGGCTGGGTGTGGGGGTATACAAAGAACAACACAAGTTCAAAGCCAGTCCTGAGTATACATAAGTCCCTATTTCAAAAACAAAACCTAAACAAACAAAACCACTTCAGAATTGTAGGTAGGACTAATGATAACTGGTTGTTGTGTTGAATACCTGAGATATTTACTGTTAATATCATGTGCCATGAAGTCATAAGAGTATAGTTACATGTCTAGGCAAGATAAAATGACAATTTAAAAGGTTAGTCTACTGAATAAGGAAAATAAATACTACAGCTTAAACTTTTAAAAAGTTTTATCCAAGTTATAATGGACAATTTACTATAAGCTGAAAAACTAAAGTATAATTATTAGAAATATCCTCATCTTTAATTGGGTCTGATAAACCATGAATTTAACTCAAGTGCTTCAGAATAAAAATATATTGCATACTTAGTAACCATAAAATTCTTGAATAAAAGTTTATATGAAATCAAGTCACATAAGAAAAGAAATTCCTGAAATACTACTGTGAAAAACAAGGTAGAAAGCATTAAGTATAACTTTAATACAAATAATACATAAAGGGTCTAACGCTTAATACCATTAAATGAATTAAGTTATTGAAAATGTAAAAGACAAAATAAACATCTACCCACAATTTTCACATTGAAGAGTATAAAACTTATATTCCAAATAAAGTGTAAATAAATGATATTCACTATTTTAAAAACAAAATATTTTAAATTTTTAAAAATTTAAAAGATACTACATATACTCACTGATCTTAAGTTCTTATTAATGTCAAACTCATTATATTAAATACATACTTCTTTTCCTTTTAAGATAAAGCAAGCACCTTTATAAACTAGTTACCTTTTTATCTTCCTTTACTTTGTGGGTTTTCTTCTTCATCTTCTTATCATCTACCTCCTGGTCAGATGTGATTGCAGGATTATCAATACCACCTTTCCAAGTTTCAACAGGTGAAAGTAGTGGATCTTCTTCACTCCCACGATGTCTCCCTTTTCTTTTTGTTTTAGAAGTAGTGAAAGCCTCATCATCACTTGCATCTGAATGTGTTCTTCTATAGTATGACTTGGCTTTACTAAACAAAGTTTTAGATTTATATTTGTATTTTGAAGGTCTACGTTCCCCATGACCTTTCAAGGTTCTATCAGAAAACCCGTTTTCTTCATCTCCTTGAGTGTTGTTTACAAATGAGTTTCGAATTTTAATAATTCGATTCTGACTATCATCAGGGACAACATAAATCTCATCAGAATAGCCCTTCTGTTTGAAAATTGTGTCAAGGGGTTCCGAATAGTTATCTGAAGGATCCATATCTTCAGGGTGTGCCAAAGGCACCCGAGAAGTCTGTTTTCTTGGATTTTTACCAATACCTGCTTCAATAGTTTTTAAAAGGTTTGGATCCAGTTTTTTCACATTTGTTTTAGGTACAACTGGTTTAGGTTTAATAGGTGGAGGCACTTTATGGTTACGTTCATGATCGTGACAGTTTGGGGTGCTATGAATAGGATACTCATTTCCTTCCAAATCTAACCTGTATCTGGAACGGTCACTGGGTGTTGGAAGCAACTGTACATCATCCCCAATTGGACTATAAGGAGGTGGTGCTTCTGTGTCATCATCTGAATCAGGATAGTTGTTATAGGGAAAACAGTCTCTTGGAGATGGAAGAAAAACATCTTCACTTTGATGGGTGGATTCCCTTGTGTTATCAGACAAATAGGAATTTTCTATCATATTTTTTTTCTCTAGAACGTCACTGAAAAACAGAGTAAAGACCTCAGTTTGCCGATGATATTGAGATAAAGAATACAATGCTGTAAATTTAGCAGTTATCTCAGTGGCAATGTGTTCTCCTTCAGTCATTAATTCCTTGATAGCTTCATTTTCAAAAAAGTCTGCTTGACTGTCAGTAACTGCCACTAGTTGTACAGGAATGGTATCTTGAACTTCTGACAAAAATGCACGGAGCATTCCCATTGACGCTTTCCGTTTTGCAGAATAAACTAGTATATACCCATGGACCAGTTCATCTTTTCTTACTCCAATTGAGGAGTGGTATGACAATATTGTGATCTGTATTCGCCTCCTTTTTTCACCAATAATTTTGTCAAGCATTAAGGAATTATTCTGTCCAGCTTGAGCAGCACTGCAAGAGTGAGAATCAAGGAAGGGTGAAAGAATAAGATCCACACTAAATGGATCACCACACATGGCACACATGACAATTCTCAAGTCAGCTTCTGACACATCCTTATTGATAGGAACTGGGCTCACCACATCTAAATTGTGTTTAACTGATTCCAATACTCCTCTTAGAGCTTGCTTTATTTGTGACTCATTAAATTTACGAGGATATGTACCAGTAGGTACATCTACAAAAGGACACTGCAACTTGTTGGCCAACTGCTGTCCTTGGTGTCTAAGAATTGGTAGATTTTTACTAATGGAGTCCCTCTGATTAGCAAGAATTAATGTAAATGGAAGATTAGCCATATATTTATCTTTTCTGATCTGAGAAGCTTCAGTTCTTATTTTTCCAATAAATTCCCCAATAAAACTCAGTGATTCAATAGAATTAAATACACAGAAGCACCCATGTGGTTTAAAGGCTGCAGTCCATAACTGACTCAAAATGTAAGGCGATTTGGCATCAACAGGCCGAAGATCAAGTTCATAAATTTTTCCATCTAAGGCATACTCATCATCAGTGGATTGAGTCCTTATCTCATTTGCTAGTTCCTGGGCAAGGCCATCTTTCCCTAAAATGAAAAGATTAACTTTGTCTATATTGGTACTATCATGATACAAGCGCAAGCGGCCATGATCCAACTGTAAAAGACTACTGGCAAGTAAGTGTTCCACTTTAATGTCTGTACAATATTGGCCACTGAGGCAGGTTTCTTTAGTGGGATGATAAACAAATCCTATATGCTTAAGTAGAAGAGACTCTCTATCAGGTGCAAGTTTCTGTAAAGCTTTGTATCTAGGTTCTTCACTTAGAACTGTATGAATTTCACTCATTTTGTCTGAACTTGGTGTTGCATTAAGATCTAAATCATAAAAAAGTTCAGAATGCTCAAAAAGCATTTCCTGAAACTCTTCTTTGGCTTTTTCAACTATCTCTCGCTGATGCCTACCATATACTTCTTTGCTATCAGCTTCAGTGATGTATTTGAATGCTTCATCCTCCATAACAAAACACATAACTTCCTCCCATGGTTGCCCAGGTGAAATGAACTGAATTTTTTCTAAAGTCTTCTTGAATTTCTCCTTCATCTCTATTCTTCGTTTCTCTGATATCAGATGTTGTACATGGTTCTGATAGACCTTTTCTGCTTCTAAAGTGCTCAGGAGGTCGAATGGGATCCGTCTATCATTAACTTTGTCTATATGGTCAGTTTCATCCCAAGGTGTTTTTTCTAGCACCACAAAACATAACTGGAAATCTGCTCTCTTTTCCATTAACTTCAAAGCTTCCAACCAATTCAAGTGTTCAATCTCTTCTAGATCAGGCAAGAGAGTATTAAAAGCCCTTGGTAAAGTACTTATATATTCTTCTCTCCTTTTTCTTATATGTTCCTGTTTGAGTTGTTCTATATGCTTTGAGAATGTATTTCTGGCCTTTCTTGTTCCCTCTAAGTTGATGTATTCTTCATAGTCAGGATGATTTTTTAATTTATTACTAACAGTTTTCCAAGTTGCATGATAATCTCTCACAGTCTGTACAAGTTTTTCAAACTTATCTGTTGCTGTGACAACAAGTTGTCTCTGTGTTTTATAAGCATCCAGATAGGGAATAATTTTAGGTTTGCCACGAGTTTTATCCAACATTTGTACTAATGCAGTAAAACATGTCTCAATGTTGACATTAAATCGCGCTGAGGTTTCCACTACAAGAAGGTTCTTTTTGTTTGAAGCAAATGCTTGAACTTCTCTAAGATAATGATCCACACATTCATCACATTTAGTTGCTGCTATTATCACAGGCTTTTTGGATTTTGATAGCTGGACAAAAAGGTTATTCACAAATTTAAGTTGATCATCAAACTTCCTATTGCATCCTTGACTTACATCAATACACAATAAAAATCCATCTACATTGAGCTTTCCTTCAGGCATTTGCTTCTGTTCAAAGTCTTGCTCCAAGCCTAGCTGATCTGTGCAAATGTACATTAGTTTTTCTGCTGACTGCAATTTAGAGGCAGCTGCACGTTTTATGTATGGTTGTAAATTTGTACTTCGATGAGGCAAGAAAGTCTGGTCATCAATGAACTCTGTTTGTTCAATGACATGAATTTTGCATTCTACTCCGTCTTCACCACTTTGTGTTATGTCACCCCAGTATAAAAAGTGATCATTGTTTACTACTCGGCCTCCAAAGTCAATGGTGCTAAGCACAGAAGTATGCTCTGGATAATATTCATCTGCTTTTGAGCGTACAAATCGATTGCACAAACAAGATTTTCCAACTCCACAGTTACCTTTGTCTTTTTCAGTCCCAGAGAGTCCAACTACACTGACAGTATAGGATGGGGGGCGAGGCTCTTTGTTTTTTGCCATCATAACTCTTTTCTCATGTCTCTACATTCATAAAGGTAACCATATATACTTTTCATCCTGAAAATAAAACCATCTCAAAATACAGATCCTGAATTTCAGAATTATATTTGGTTCTTTGTAGTTCCTTCATCACCAAAGAAAGGACTTCAAGATCATATGGATCATCTTCCTAGAAAGAGAAAAAAAACAAAAATCTTATGTAAGCTACGTGAGTAAAGAGTAAAAATATCCATAACAAAGTATTATGTAAATCAATAATTCTAATAATGTTGAATATATGAAAGAAACCACGTAACAATTTATAATTTACTTTTATAAACACACAGTGACCTCAAATTTAAGCTAACAATAAAATACTAAGTATATAAATCTAATGGCTCACAAGCTTTAAAATAAACTCGAAAACCTCTATTAACCGAACATGAGTTCTGCTTCTAATTATTTCATCCTATAGACTTGAGGAAATAACTAACCTTTTCCACTCCTTTAATTTTCCTTCCTTCTGTGATAATGTTAGCAGTAACTAAACTGTAATGTTTTAGCAACTGCCTTACAACTTTTATTCAGTTTTATTTCTTACTGTGTCAGGAAAAGAATCAAGATCCTAACCCAAGAACGCTTAGAGCAAGACCTCTATACAGCTGTCTCTCTAGCCTCACAACTTAAAAGTGTAAAATAACTAGCTTCAGGTAACAGTATTCCTCAAAATCTATTTCTCCAGGAATTTTGAAATTTTTTTCCCAGTAAGTTTCAACATTCTTGTGAAACCTATTAGATTTTGCGCTCCTCCCAAAATTGAGAGAACAGAGCAGAACAAAGAGAAAGGGGAGAACATGTTAATAATTTAGAAACCTTTAATTAAAACCTATTTTCATGCCGGGCGATGGTGGCGCACACCTTTAATCCCAGCACTCGGGAGGCAGAGGCAGGCGGATCTCTGTGAGTTCGAGGCCGGGCTGGACCAATAGCCTCCGAAACAAAAAAAAAACCTATTTTCTACCAAAATGCTCATACTTTTAGTAGTATCTCATATATGTTTATCCAAATACAATAGCTTACTGAGACTTGGGGCTGGGAGATGTAAGACAACTTACTTAATATTTATGGGCCCGTTTTTGATGTTCCAAAACAGCAAATTCACTTGTTATCCTATAGCAACCCCAAAACATACTCGCTCTCTCTCTATTATATATATATATATGTATATATACACACACATATATGTATGCATACACACATATATACATATACACATACATGTAGACAAATATGTTATATACACATACATGTAGACATGTGTATGCATATATGTATATTTATACACATACATACATTTATGAGTGTACTCTATAGCTTAGAATGAAAAGGTAAATAGAAAAAAGCATTACCATAAGAGATATTTTCCAAGTTTCAAAAAGGGCGATATTAAATGAAAATGAGTATGTCTGAATTTTACATATGTCATCACATCATTGGTCACTGGGAAGTGAAAAGCTTTTTACCTAAAAGATAATTAATTCTTATATTGAGACTGAATCAATTGGGGTTTACTTTCAAAGCTTCTGTACATCCTATTTAGACAGTGATGATTTCTGACTCATAAATATTAAAATTTACATTAAAAATCAGAAAGTTTCTGTAACTTTTATGGTTTTCACACCAATTCTCAGTAAACTGTCACTCTGACACAGTAAGGAATATCCCAGTCCATCCTTCTAGGACAGCTGTCAGATAAGCTACTGTGAAGCCAACTCCCAAGCTTATGACATGAATCTCCATACAGTGATTGTTTTAAATTATGGTTGAAAAATTCAACTAGGAATGGAAAACAATAATATTAGGTAAATAGTTATCTTTTTCTCAACTTTCATCAGAGTCTTCTCTATTTACCAGCAAGTTTAACACAGGAATCTTAGTTTGAGAGATAGTTGAAGAAAGCCCAGTCTAGAAAATAAAACTGCATTATCATATGAATCCCACTGGTCTCTAATAACCAGATCAAAATTATCCACCAATAGTCAAAGTAACTTTGGTATTTTTTAAAGGGCAAAGAACAAAAATCTCTAATAAACTAATGACCAGAACACTGCTCTTTAACTATGTATGCATTGTTTAAATTTAAATTTTTCTTTCAAATATGACCAGTAATGATGTAACTGGGCCAATCATACATATGGCTTCTTTATTTCTTACAAAACTTTACTTTCATACACAGTAACTTAGTCTCATAACACTTAGTAAACTTATTTTTACTTATGAGGAACACAAGAAAATATTAACAGCATGCATGAAATTACAGTTTAGATCTGTTTTTACATACTCAATCAGTGTTGATTTTAATAGTATGCAGTGAGGCTCTCATTTTCCTTTAAGGTTATCTTAGAAACTTAAGTTTTATACCAAGAAAGTTAGGTCAACCATGCCAATTATCTTCACAGAAATTAATGATAATACACATATTTGGGTGAAATTCTCCTAGGGCATTCATATTTTGTATTCTCTTTTAAATAACATGAAATGGCTTTTTACAAGTTAAAAGCTATACAAGAAATCTAGAAAAATGAAAAATAGATTTCTAAGAATTCACAATTTAACCTAAAATATTTTTAGAGATTAAAATACTACTAACTGAAACCTGGGTAAAGTGTGAGGGGAGAGAAAAATGAAGAGAGGATGATTAATAGGTACTGAGGTACAGATAGATAGGAGGAGAACCTTCTAACGCTCTACACCACAGCAGGCTAATCAGAATTGACAATTACATATTTTAAAATAGCTAATAAAGACGTGTGATGGTTGTTGACTTGACAATCCAATAGAGGAACTGCCCCCATTAGAATGGGTTGTGGGCATATCTGTGGGACACTGTTAATTGGCACAGGAGGGCCTGAGAATACAGGGTAGCTAAGCAAGCCAGGGGAAATAAGCCACTACTGGGCTTCCCTCCACAGTTCCTGCCCTGACTGCCCTCAGTAATGGACTTAGCCTGTATATCAAATAAACCCTTTCTTCAAGTTTATTTTGCTCAGTATTTTTGTTCTGTTTTTGTTTTTTTAAATCCCAGTAATGGAGAAACAAAGGAGCAAAATCGCACCAAGAAAGTGGGGTATTGTAATGAACCTGACCTTGTTGCTTTGAGGGAAGACATGGCTCACTTGGGAGCTTTTGGCTAGAAAAACCACTGAGTGATCAGAACTTAGTTAACTGTTGCTGGAGCTTGGAAGATGCCAGTGTGGATAGAAATGCAGATGAAAGCCTGTCTTGTGAAGTTTCAGAGGACTTCTGAGTCTCTCAAAGACTTTATTGCTGTTCCTGTGACATTTTAATTAAGAATCTATGTAAATAAAATCTTTGCTTTACTGGGACAATCAATGCTGGTTAGCTGATGCTGAAAAATTAGCTATGATCAGTTAGAGACCAGCATCACTGAGGTGAAATCTGGGAAGTAGTTCCTCAGAGTCAGCAATCAGTTGGGGGTGGGGCTAGGAGCAGTATCTCAAGTAGAAAGCAGAACTTGGTAATGTGTATGTAAGTCTTCCATATGGTACTGGTTTTGAAGCCATGAAGAGGTCAGAGAGACCAGCTGAGGCCTGGCATTTTATGGCAAGGCCAAAGATTCCCTAAAGAGAGGCAAGGAGAGGCTAGTGGTGAAAGTTCAGCCTCAGTTGCAATAGCAACTCCATGACTAAAAGAGTCATGGACAGCAGCTGTGGCTTGACACTTCATGAAGTCAAGAGAGGTCACTGAAGATGTAACCTGTTACAGTGAAGACTCTAGTATACTGGAGATGCAAGATCATAGGATGACTACCAAGGACAGTGTTAGGTACATAGTGGACTTGACCTGAGACAGGAGACAAACTGCATGGACTGCGTATGGTGGAGTCAAGTCTTGGCTATCCAAGCCCTTTGCAGTTCAGAAGATCATGAGTGAATCCCAAATGTTAAGAGGTAGAACTTTCACTGGACTTTGGTTTTGGTTTTATTTGATTATAACTGTATCAGGTTCTTCTTTCCTCTTAAACTACTTCATTTATTTTAGATTTTACAGGAACCCACAGTTAGAGATTTTGAGTTTTTAAGAGAATCTGAACTTTTAAAGTATTAAAAATTTTAAAGACTGAAACTTTTAAAAGTTAGAATGTGTTTTATACTGATATTAGTATTACTACGAGCCACAGGGAGCAAAGAAAGGAAAGGTTACAGATTTCACAGTGATGTGTTTGTGTGTCATGTTGATAAGAGGTTAAACTTGTGATAGTCAATCTTGGTTGTTAGCTTGACATGCCTAAGAATGAACCAAAACTGAGAAATGCCTCCATTAAATTGATCAATGAATATGGATTGTATAAGAAAGGTAACTGAGCAAGCTGCCAGGGAAATTAAAGCCTGTAAGGTGTCCTCCATGGTTCTTGCTTCTGCTCCTCTTGAATTACTGCTCTGATTTCCTCAATGATGAACTATGGTTGGAATGTATAAGCCAAATAAAGCTTTTTCTCCTCAAGTTGGTTCTGGTCCTCATTTTATAATAGTATCAAACAGCAAACCAATACAAGAGATTCTGATTGTTTTCAATATCAAACAAACAAACAAAACAAAACCCAAATAACAAATCTAAGGTGGTAGAGATATGCCAATCACCCTGATCCAAGCATTTATCATATATACTAAAATGCCACACTGAACTCCATATATACACAATTACTGTCAATTAAGACACATAATTCTATCAACATCAACCTATAAAGCTTTTATCCCTTTTCATAAAATTGTTGCATTTAATAATAAAGTATAATTTCTAAAATACTTATGGCTTTACATTGTTTTGCTTTGTCCTACTGGCTCTTTCTTTAAAAATACACATATAACTTAGCAGTTTCTGATACCTTTACTACAATAACCCAGATTCTATTCTTCATGTTTGGTAAATGATTCTAATTTCATTTCCTTGCATAATTTCTGTTCCCTTTCTCTGGTCTGTTAATATCAGAGCAACCAACGCTCGCTAAAATATAAATTAGAGCCTTCTGTTTAAAACTTTCCAGTACTTTTAAAAGAAGAAGCCAAGTCATTAATTAATGTTCTACTCTACATCTGCCTTCTACAGTGTTTTCATATCTCTGAGCTACTCTAATATCACTTTCCCAAATTCTCATTCTGCTTCATTCACACTAAGACACATAGCGTGCTTAACACACTCCTGCCTTTACACTTTCACTAGAATTTCCAAAACTACTATGTAACATCATTATTATGTCATTAACTCTACCCTTCTCCCATTTCATTCTAGATTTAACTAAAGAGCCCAAAAGGTACAAATCTATGTATGTTCATTGCACTAATATAGCCCACAAGCCTAAAAGTACTTCACACAATGGATTCATTGATAATATGAAAATGAAAACTTTTCCAAAAATGAAGATATCTGAATCAAAGTAAATTATGATGCATAATAATACATTTGTCCAGAATAAGCATATATTTTTATGTATAATATTTAAAACTAGAGATGGCTAGAGAGATGGCTCAGCAGTTAGAATACTTGCTGCTCTCTTGTAGAGGACCTAAGTTCTGTTCCCAGTACCCACAGGGCAGATCACAACCACCCATCACTCCAACTCCAGTTCTGACATCCTCTTCTGGCCTCCATAGGTACTGCAGGCCATGATGCCCCTTCATGCATACAGGCAAAACACTCATAAAATGAAAGCTAAATTTAAAATCTAAAAATAAGAAATATAATCCTGAACGTAACTGATTTTAAATATTAGTCTTTTTAAAAGTCAGTTTTTATTACAGGAAATTACATTTCTAAGACCTGATTATACAGAATTAACTTTATAATTACTTTATAATTCAATCTTAAACACCCAATGTAACTAAGCATTCACAAAGATAGACCTAACACAAAGATCATCCTATGTTCCATAAGCTAAGGCAAACTTGTCCAGAATAACATGAGAAAAGAGATTTTCATACTAAAAAATTAGTGTAAACTTGATATATTACTTCTGTTAATGTTGCTAATTCTGTTGACAAATTTATCAATGTTATAAGCAAAAGTAGATAACACTTTGCGCATATAAGATATGTACTGTATTTATTGTATTTTACCTTTGAAGTAAGGTTTCTGCCACAAAAGTACACACTCTTTAGATGTAACATAGCTTCGAGAAGCCAATTCTATGAATTGGTCTTTAGACAAGACTATAATCAAGTGAATGAAGAGAACTTCCCAAACTTTTAACAAGTATGTAGTGACTACCTGCAAATTTTGGAATCTTCTGTTTTTACCCAATCTCTAAGCTCCCAGAATACCTGACACAAGGGGGACACAATAAATTTTAGCAAGTAATAAGTGACCCAATCTCCAGGCTCAGTGCACACAACTCTAAAATCCTGAAGTCACAATTGTTGACTTTATAAGCCTATAAAATCTAATAAGAATATTTTAATCTAAAATGTCCAGCATCTTTCCAGGGCCTATAGTTTGATCACTAACA